AGTGCAGTGCCTTAACCCACTGCGCCACCAGGGAGGGCCAACCTCATGTACTTTTAACAGTTGAGAATATTATTATTTCAATACTCAAAGTAATGTTATATGCCAGAGAAATTTAGCCAAGTTCTGAAAATACATAATTGCTATACTACAGTTTCTTGAGATATATAATGACACTTTAGAATACACTAAGACATATAAATTGTTGTATTAGAAACATGGGTTCTGTATCTTTATATGTGTGATTCCATGTAATAGAAACATAAAAAGATTTTGGGATAAAAAGGTTTAGGTGCTATCATTAAGTTCCTAGCATACTACCTATGAAACTGACTGTTTTGTCAAGTATTTCTCCAGCACCCACTCTATGAAATAAATGTGTGGTCCTGTGAGGATTAAAACATAGAGATACAGATATCTACTTCATGTAGTTTGCACTTAATTTGGAATTCAAGTAGGTAGGAATAAATGTAGTAGAAAAATACAAGACATTTAAAACAGCTTAAGCACATACTATTCTATTATGAAATTTCTATTGTACATTATATGTCAGGTATGTAGTAAATATGTGTTTTAGGACAATGGCTTTCTGATGGTTCTGCAAAAATGTTTTCTATATTATATACCCACAAGAAACAGAAAGTAATAGCTCATTCATTTTATCTAATTTGGGGCCTTTTTGGCCTAAGTGATTGCCTGACTTGGAACAGTTGTTTTAAAGTTAATAGTTATGAAAGCTCATGCAGGCAAAATATGAAAACTGCACATATGCATGCTGTATATATCAAAAGCTGATATACAAAACTATAAATTAGCATACCCATTTCAATAAAATGTGGGTAATAATTATTCCTTTTGCAGAAACCATATAACATGTAGAACTATAAATATGAGAATCTAGGTTCTTAACTATTTTAGCTAGCAAAACCCTAAGGCTCTCATTGTACCTACCAAAAGGTTCGCTGCTTGTTCAGATGTTTTCATTCACCTTTGGGTAGCTACTGAAATGTTATCTCAATGACACAGTTGTTACACTGTTATGACACTTGATAATTCTGTTGGCCCTTGAGCCAGAAGGTATGGAGCAGTCAAGGCTGGTTTCACCATATACAGTAAAAGACCTTTGAGCAAAGATTTCTGTTGGAAAGGTGTGAGCACCACACTAGAAAGCCTTCTGACACAGAAGTTGATCATGTAACCTGAGACACTTCTTGCATTTTAACAATAGCCATAGGATCACATAGTTCTATTTACTTCCAAGTTACCTACTTACTAATTAGATAAAGTATGGGACTGCTACTGATTTATCTAACATGAACATAAAAGTATTACAAATCAAGAAAACTTACTTACAAGCACTCAAGGACAAATCTACTTGGAGACTTAAATAATTACCACTGATACCTGGGAGCAGATATACTGCCTAACTCAACAATCACACAAAAGAGGAAATTCTCACTTCTTAATTCAGGTTTTATAAATTAATATAATAATGAGAAAATACCAATTTAAAAAACTTGATTGAATTTATATTCACTATATTCACCTATATTAATGAATATATTTGTTTTGGATAAAATTTTTGGACATCTTTCAGTTTTTATTTAATGACATAGCATATAAGCTTTTTAAATCGATTACTATCTGTCAGTGAAAACTATTAGAAATTACCTATCTTGTTGAGTTGTTACTGATTTTTGGATGTTGTATTTCTGAGGAATTAAACATATTCTGAAATAATAATACTAAAAAAGTCAAGTTGGAAGTTTATATTTGCCTGATAGATAAAGAAGGAACAGTGATCTAAATACTGAATGAAATACTGCAGTGGAAAATAAATGCTATACCCCACTGCATGATAAACCAAAACCATTCTATTGGAAAAAGCACACAAGTAGTGTCTCAAGGCAAAGGGAACTACAAATAGATACAAACTAAGTAACTTGCTTGCTATCTTCTGATTTAGGAGAAACCACAAGCAAAATAAAAACCATGAACTGAAGAGGTATGCCTCTTTCAAACTCCCAAGGGATAATACTTAAGTCCTCATTATATTATGGAGGAGATAAGAGGGGACTTTTTAAAAAAGATTTATTTATTTATGCATGCAGAAGTGGGGCACAGGCCAGAAGTGCAGGGGCGGTGAGAGGATTCACCAGAGACAGAGTGGGGAGTAGAACAGGCAGATCAATAAAGTATACTGCTGAGGGGAGCTGCGGGCAGGTCAGGAAAGGTCTGCAGCACCAAGTGGATCACCTCTGGGGCAGGGATCAAACTCATGCTGAAGTGACTTAAGCTTCTTAGTGCTGTGCTTTAACCCACTTCACCACCAGGAAGGGCCACGAGGGATTACTTTTTAAGCAATTGTACCAAGAATGAAGAAGAATGTGAAGCCCCTTGCTCAGGTTATGAATATAAGATCCAGTTACTTTTGACCCAAATTTACCCATGGCTCTATTCCATGAATAAGTCTTCTGTCAAAAACATTGTTGAAATGTGAGATAAAAGCATCCCAACTGGTTCTCCGTCCCTGTGTTCGTGGGAATGCTCCTTACCACGCAATTTTTAACTACATGAAACAGAATGTTCTCTTACTTATACAAACTTCCCCGTTATGTTGTTATGAGAGCAAAATGCTTAACTATCCGAAACTTTCAGACACTGCAAGTACATTGTGACACTGGGTAAGAGGAACAGAATCATCTCATTGATTCAAGTTCCTGCTTCTTTACATGTATCATGACTGCATAAGCTTTCGATGGTCAAATTCTGCAAACAATTCTAGAAAGTGTAAATGCAAATTTATAAAGTTTTGTAATATAAGATGGAACCATTTCAAAGTCTATGAAATAATTCCTTTGCAAAGGATTGTCATTGAGAACCATGTTAAAGAAAGATGATTCTTAATTGGGGACCATGGTAGTCACAACAAAACTTAAACTCTTCAGCAATCTTCAGGAGATTGGAGATCTTTAAGAGTCTAAAAATCAAAAAGAAAAACAAAACCAAATACAGAAACTACCAACTATGGCATGTAGTTTTTCCCTCTATTAGGATCTCTTAAGGGTCTGTCAAGTCATGAAAAAATAATGATAGTGTTAGAAGCCTTGACGAGGTAGATTAAATCATGTGATTTCTCCAATGATGAAGATTTAAAGATATGTTAGCTGCTGTAAATAATGTAGAAGGCAAAACAAAAGTAAAAAACCTTGAGTTTACTATTTTTTGTTGTTTTTATGTATGTGGCAGGTATACTTTCAGAGGAAGAAACAATGACTGGGGTTCAAGTTGAGATATGACTAGAAGTTAGTTAATACAAAACTGGGACTTCTGTGAAGGCAACACTTATGGTGACATACTTCATATTATATGGAGTTTTAATCATTAGACACTATGAATGGTAATGACTTTAAAGATACGGTAGATGGAACACATCATAAGAAAAACATTTGGTGATTTACCTTCAGATAAATAAATATATACATAATTCCTCACATAATACTGGAAAATATGACTTTCAGAGAAACAACTATAATGAAAAAAGCAGATCCTCCAATAACATAATTGTATTCAATGTTTTGTTAGAACATTGAGGTTGATGCGAAATGAGCAGTCTGGCTTACATTGAAAGAAGTTATGTTACTGTAAGATCTGTTGTGTGTGTGTTAATATAACATATGTGTGTGTGTGTTTTCTATATATATATACACACATATATATTTACATTCACTATATATAAAGTACTATTCTAGATATTTGAGCAGTAGGGAGTAAAGATCATGAGTTAAATAAGATCTCTACCTCTTACAAATGATTTCATAATTTGAAAAAGATCTTTATAAAGAGCTTATATTTAAATTAGAAAATAAAGCATAATGACTTGAAAAGTAAATTAAAGCAAAAATCAAATAAAGATAATAATATGAAGGATAACTGGATACATTGCATAATTATCAAATTATGTCTAGACCCAGAAGTTACACACTTGGCAATGCCAATGGCATTATATGGAGAGGTTTTAAAAAATTAAATGCTTGAGCTCTACCCCATATCTCTACCCTAAACTCTACGCAGAATGTGGGAGATTGGGTTATATATTAAGAGAAGGGAGAGGACTTCATGGAGATAAAACTAGGCACTTAGTATTTTGTAAAATTCCCAAGTGATCCTATGAAATTAGTTTGGCACAACTAACTAGCACAGTATTGAAGAATCTCTGTTCTAGGCCAGAAAAACACCACTATGCAGATATTTCAATTGGTAAAGGTGGCCTATAGACCAAATGGGTTTTATGTTTCATAGGAAATTCAGTGAAATTTTTTGCCATTTTCACTGATGCCTAGAACACTGAAATCATCAGAGTAAGAGTTCACAGTGGGGTTTAAAGACTTCAAGAAGAGACAGCTTGCATTAGATTAAAGGAAAGATCTTTTTTGCCAAAGGTAGAAAAGTCTGCCAGGGAAAAGGAACAGCATGTATTCAGGAAAATAAAACTAGATTTGAAGCATGATGCACTGAAGAACTATTTAGAAACGAGGCTTCATGCAGGGGAACACTGGACTGTGGAGAGGATCAGATTCCCTTCTTGAGTTCCACTGTGTTTTTATTATGGAAAAATGTGAACACCAAGTCTAGATTTATAAATCTCAATTGAATAAACTCTATGTTACTTTTGTTTACTCAGCCTACAGTCAAAAGATTAGTGGCATATCATTTTTGATAGAATCCAGACATCCGGCATGAATTCATGGATGTGAATTTTTTTTTTCATATATCTTATTTAAAGAGGGTTCTAGGTTCTTTCATCAATTTTACTCAATCCTTGTACTTACAAAGGAAAGTCAGGACTATAATGATGTAGTGTTGATGCTATAGTATTTGTACACATGCTGCTTTAGTTCAGAATGCCAAAAAGAAAGCGTTTTTAAGACAATTATCACTATCACTGAAGATTTAAAATTGGGGCTTATGCAACTTGAGCCAAATACCAAAATTATGGTTACCTGAGTGAATGATTCCTGGTAAGATCAGGTTGACGCTCCTGTAGAATTTCAAAGATATTTGGCTGGCGTAGAAATGCAACAATCTTATCATTGTAAGCTGAAAAAAAATCAGAAAATGTAATCATTTAAAAATACCTGTTACTAGTTTTATGCACATGAAATCTCATCATTTATGACAGTGTCGATGAAACTGGAAGAGATTAGGCAAAGTGAAATAAACAGGAGAAAGAAAATTATTAGATGATTTTATTCATGTGTGTCATAAAGAACGAAAACAAAGGAACAGCCAAAATTAAAACAAACCATCCCTTAAATTTTACTACAGAATTGAGGGCACTAGATGAGAGGATGAGGGCAAGAAGGCGACCCAATGGACTCCAGTGGAGGAGATTTAGGTGCTGGGTCATAGGTGTATATAGTGATACACAACTGAATAGGAGTGAACTTACACTCCCAAGTCATATACAATTGTGCTGTAAACCTATTTTACCTCAATCAAAATTAATGCAAAAAGTAAAATAGTAACCTTTTTCTGTTCAATATTTCTTGTACTCAAAGTCAGAGTCTGGAGCCACTAAAAATGCTTAAATTCCTACCTTTATAAGCTGTTACGTGAGTTTTGATTTAGATATATGTGTGACCTAGCTCTGGACTTACTAATCATTTAATAAATAACATTTACTATCAAATTGCTAGATAAGATACAAAAAGTTTCTAGAATATTTGTTCCTTTAAGCTTTAGCTTACTAAAAGCAACCTCATATGTAACTGCTAGAGATAAAACACCATTTTGATTAAATTTCAGCCATCCAAATATAAGTATAATGGGAGAAGGGAATAGAGAACTTATTAGAAAAAAATAATAAGGAAAACATCCTAAATCCAGGGAAAGAACTAAATATACAAGGTGATGATGCTAAAAGAACACCTGATTATCTAAATGTAACAAGACCTACACCAAGATACATAATCATTAATTTACCAAGAGTTCATGACAAAGAAAGAATAATGAAAGTAACTAGAGAAAAGAAGTGGGTAATCAGGCTGACATTAGACTTCGTGGAGGAAGTCTATGGACGAGGAGAGAAGGAACAAATATTCAAAATACTAACAATAAAAAAATCACCAGTCAAGACTATTATATCCTGCACTGCTATTTACACAATGGAATACTACCAAGCTATAGAAATAGATGAACAGCATGGATGGAACTGGAAGGTATAATGCTAAGGGAAATAAGTCAGAAGGAGAAAGATAAATACCACAGTTGTAGAGTATACACAAAGAAAACAAAGGGTCAGACAAAACCAAACAAATAACAAACCCTTGAACCTGATGGTAGAATTGAGGATACAAGACACAGAGGAAAGAAGAGAAAACAAATTGACGAGGGAGCACAGTGGTCTATGATGGAGGTTTGGGGTGCCTTGGTTGTGAGGTGGTGTGATGACATGAATAGTAGGATGCATGATCCTATGCTTCTGGATCACACAGTGTTGTAATACAATGTTACCTCAATTAAAAAAGTAAGTTTTTAAAAGGATGAAAATAAAATAAAATATAACTGAAAACAAAACAACCAACCAGCCATCCATAGAAGTAAAGAGGCAGAATAAGAATCACTGAAACACAGTAGTGATCAGGGATAGCTACAACTAAAATACAGAGAACAAACTATTCTCAAATTCTACGTAAAATTAAATGCCATTAGACCCATGTAGCTCAACAGCAAGAGCTGCAACACAATCAGCATTATCAACTTATCAACTATGCATTAAATATATTAAAAGAAAAAATCTATATTTCAGTCAATAACAACAGAAATTTTAAAATAAATTGATTAAAGTTTATGAAAGGTTCTCTGTTAAAAGTTTTTGGTCAGGACTTTGTTAGATATTTTTGGTCAGCAAAACCAATTTGTTTACTTAAGATGATGCATCTTGATTATAATCAGAAATACATATATATTTAAGTCACAGAATTGAGTATCTGAATTCTAACATATCAGAGATTCCAGGTCAATCGACACTCTTGTGTTCAGAAACATGATCAAAAAACTTACGTAAAATAACGAATGATCAAACAAGAGAAATAATTCCCTAGACATTTGAAATTTTGCCAGTGAGTTTTTACATTAAAGATCAGAGACTAGAAAACTTTTTAGGCAACAAGTTTGCAACACTTTCAAAGTTGATGTTCAATGTTTAGTATCACATTGGTAAGTAGATAATAAAACCTTTATCTAAAATTTCTTCTTACTTAGCAGTTGTCAATTTCCTTAGATGATAGGCATTACACTACATTACTTTAAGAAGTAAAAATGTTTATTGCTGCTTTATTTACAATAGGAAAGACATGGAATCAACCCAAATGACCAAAAGTAGATGACTGAATTTAAAAGATGTGGTACATATACACAATGGAATATATTCAGCAATCAAAAAAGAAAAACTCATGCCTTTTGCAGCAGCATGGATGGTGCTGGAAGGGATCATGCTTAGTGAAATAAACCAGAAAGAAAAAGAAAAATACTGGATGGTTTCACTCATAGCAGGAGCATAAAGGACCATGGCAGGGAAGGAGGAGAATAATAATGAACAAATATATACCAGAGACATTTTATGGGGGTGAAGTGGGGAATGGGATTAAAAATGGGGGTGGTGCACTGGACTATGGTGATGGTGCACTGGTGAATTGGTGAAGGGAAGCCCACAGGGATTACAAATGAGATGGAAAAAGGTACAAACTGATGTAAAAATACACTTATGTGTGTGTGTGTGTGTGTATGTGTATATATATATTATATATACATATTATATATATTATACATATTATATATATATGTGTGTGTGTGTGTGTGTGTATATATATAATGAAGTAAAAATGTTTAAGTAAATAGAAGTGGTGAGCTCCTCACTTTGAAGATAGAGCAGGGAGACCATATTGCCTTCACTCATCTGTCTATCCATCTGCCTTAGGACTCCAGGTTTGAAATCTGAGCGAGCCACTTCAATTTCTTCATGTAAATAACAACTCGAGTTGTTATTTAAGCCTATTTTCCTACACTCATTTATTTTTATTTTGGAGGCTCTTGCTATCTTATATTTGCCACATTACCCCTTAAGAATGAGCCATCATTTCTTGCCTATTTTGTGAGGTTACTACAGAGTTATTTAAATTCCAATGACAATTAAAGACATTTAAATTATCATAAGCTTTAGATATATTCTAAATATTTCTAAGTATATGCTTGTCCAAATGCTTAATTTGTAATGATCACATATCACATTTGCCTTAAAAAGTATTTTTCCTTAACTTTAACAATTTAAAATAATAACTCTACTCAGAAAAAGTGGAGTGGTATAAGAAAATCTCACCCACAGGATTTTACAAAATTTAAGAGCTTAGAAATACACAGATCAATTTCTTAGGAAGAATACAACAATTTCTCAATACAGAGCCAAAGCAGTGGATTGATAATCTACACATCTATACAGAATGCACAGTGACAAGAAATGCAAAGATAAAGATTCCTGGAAAGGAGTGACGTACCTACTGGAACCATGTCCTGGTACTGTGGCCTACTGACTGTGTTGAATGTACTGGAAGGCCTGGGAAGAACTGGCGGTCCTGCATGTCGAGAATCTTCTCCTACCTGCAAACACAAGTATCATTTATGTTCTGCGCCAACATCAAGGAAGGCTTCATTAGCATTCCCAACCAAGTTGTTCAAAATACTTGACAACAAGCATTATTAGGTTAATACTGGTTAGAGAGAAGCCAGTTGAAAAGCTGACATAGAATTTTCAAAAGGTCTGCTTTAGTTGGGGCATCATGACCTTGAGGGGAGTTAGGACAGTGGCCATTTACCAGTTGGTACAGGAATTCCATATGCTTACAACTATAGGGACTATAGAAGCTAAATAGCAACACTCTTGTCAAGAATAACTTCTGCTTTGCCAGAACACAAATCTGCAAGCATCAGGAAGAAGACCTGGATGGTACAAAATATATCAGGCAGACCCCATACCTCCTTTTGGCCAAGGCAAGTCAGGGAATTTCCTGCCTCAGCATAGGAGGAATTGAGGAGCAGCCGTCTTTGTGTGGGTTTCTGAGTTGGTGTATTATCTCCTTAGAAGTAATTTTACATGCCAATTAGAGCACCCAGTACAACAGCTCTTTCTGGTTTGAACCTCCCACACCAGGGAGTTAATCGTAGCAGGTGTGGAGGAGCTAAATAGGGTTGCCTTAACCTGAATTATTTATTGTACCTATTATAGATTTAGAGACTCACACAAACAAGTACATAAACAAATGCCCATTAATATTCTTACCAATATAGTCTAACACCAGTTAGCTTCTGTCCTAGCATTTCCCCTATATTGCAAAAGTCTTTTAAGACAATAGTAGGACAGTAGTGTAAGAGAGGAAGAGAACAAAAGGCAAAATAACATGTTGGGTTTATAAATTGGCACTTTGAAAAGAGTGCTTCTACTCCCACCCATTCAAACTGTCCTAACACTAATTTATTATATTGCATCAGTTAGAAGTTTGGTGAGAGTTTTTTAAATGCCCTAAAACTAGAAATATGATCCCCACCCTTCAATGCTTGCTTATCCTTCAAGAATGCTCTCACTCATTCTTCAAAGTGTAGTTCAAACAGCGCCTCCTTGATGAAGCCTTCCCTTCAGGCTGACGTTAATATGAAATTCTCTCTGAATCTCAGGTACTTGCCATATATTTCTAAAGCTGTTGCACTAGAAACAGTTCATAAAGAACTTTTTCACTCACTTTTTTTTATTCATCTGTGTGTTATGGTTAGTTTCATATATTGTCTCCTTGTTAAAGAACATAGGAAGCACCACAGTGTTTACTTATATCACCCATACCAACTACCAAGTTTCTACGTCACAGCAGTCTGGTTTTACTATGTTGTCTAAAAAAGAACCAAAATTTCAACTACCTGGTATACATGCTAAATAAGGTTAAGAAGGTAGTTAGAAAGGCTTGGATATGTCACTAGAAGCTTTTTATCCTACTTCTCTTGTGGTTTCGGCTTTGAGGAATGAAATCTCAGGCAGATTTAATCAATTATATATTTGGTTATTAGTCACAGAACATATCATTACACTATACCAGGGTGAACTTTCCCTCCTGTCAGTATGTTCAGCGTGTCATCATTTCCCAGAGCAGCTCTAGGTTTTCATGACATTCCATTTCTTCAAACCAGAATATCAGACAGTGACAGGTAAACCCTGCCACATCTGTGTGAGGCTCAGGAGGTGTGTGTTCAGACGCTGTGTCAGGAAGCACAGTTCCCTCAAACGTTTAACCATTTTGGAGCTGAATGTTAAGGTTTCATGGGGTTATCTCTGCTCTATCCATCAGTTTTCCATCAATCTAAAGAAAAATCTTCATTCAAATTTTAATGAATGCTTTAGGCTCTCTCTCCCATAGGTTACTCCACAAAAATAATTCAAGTCCTGAGTTGGAGGGGATGAAAGGAAATGTAAATGTAACTTCTAATCTCACACATGCACTCCTGACCAGACTAAACAGTTAGCCTTGCACTGTGAGGTTAAGATAAGATAAACAGCTAAAGTGCACAGGCCACATGATAAAGCAAGGTTGGGCCCTAATTTGTTACAGATCATGCATCAAGGTCCAAAAGGGAGAGGTCTTAAGATGAATGCTGTTAGCATTTCACCACTAATGGTTTTATAGGACAGCAAGGTAAAGATTTATTAGCTACTTAGCAAACAAATACTTTTGAGTGTACCTCACCCTGCAATCAATTTATATATCATTTTTATATGAGCTTCTCATGTATATTCTATGTCTGCACTTAAAACCAGTAAAATGCACATGATGCATTAGAGCAAGTATGTAAATCATGAAGGGGAATTCCAAGCGTGGAATCTTGAGGAATTAAATCCAGTTATTTATTGCATTCATAATTTTTTCTTAGGTTAGAGGTTGCAAACAATAAGACACTGAAAATACCATGTGCACATAGATGTGGAAAAGGAATACAGGAAAAGAAATCTTAATGCTATTTGTCTAAGGCAACTTTTTGAAACAATATGTATCAAGCGAGGATTATACAAAGAACAAGAGAAAAAACAAAAACTTGACCTAAAACATTCCTTTTATTCATTTAAACTGCCAAGTGAAAATGAAACTTAAGAGATTTTTTTTTTCTATTTCTCTTGATTAGGCTATTAGAGAGCCCTCATGTGGCTACCACAGGTCACTACAAACTAGCCTAGATGAGATCAGCAGCTCTTTGAATAATTCTAATTTCCTCCATTTTCTCTGGCACTTCTCTGCTATATATTAATTTTGAAGATTATTAGTTATGATTCCACGATCCCAAAACCTTGGCCAAAGGTTTTAATCTAATCCAGCAACCCTCACTTAAGAAACTCTTCTCTATACTTAACCTAATTTCAGCCCACTAAAGTGACACTCATTTCTTCCTCGGAAGCTGCCCCTGGATATGCAAGTATGCAAAAGGAACCATCATCCTCTTTAGCACATTTTATTATATTATGAATTTCTTTTCACCTTCCTCTGAAAAAAAAAATTCTCTACAATTTCCACAATCTTTCTTTATATGTTCTCTTTTTAAAAAAAGACATTTAGGCCCTCCCTGGTGGCACAGTGGGTTAAAGCACTGCACTGAGAAGCTAAAGCCACTTCCGCATGAGTTCAAATCCCGCCTGCCCCGGAGGAGACCACATGGCCTGGCGGACCTCTCCTGACCCGCCCGCTGCTCTCCTCAGCAGTGTGCTTCGTCGATCTGCCTGTTCTGCTCCCCACACTGCTCCTGAGCCTCTGGCCTGTACCCCAGTACTGTATGTACAAATAAATAAATCTTTTAAAAAAATAAATAAAATAAAAATAAAAATAAGACATTTATTTATGCATACAGAAATGGGGTAGAGGGGCAGTGAGAGTATTCACCAGAGACAGAGTGGGGGGCAGAACAGGCAGACTGACTGAAATACACTGCTGAGGGGAGCAGAGGGTGAGACAGGAGAGGTCTGCTACGCCTTGTGGGTCACCTCCCTGGCCAGGATCAAACTCACTCTGAAGCAGCTGCAGCTAGCTTTGCAGTGCTGTGCTTTAACCTACTGTGCCACCGATGAGGGCCCTATATGCTCCATTTTCAACATTTGCAATTTAGGCTATATGTATGTATCAATCTTTCCAGAGAAACCTGAGGATATTCCAACACCCTCCTGCCTCCAAATGATAATCTCTAGATCAAGCTCGAAAAGCAGTGCAAAGCAAAATAAAAATCCAGTCCCACCCCCCACAAACTCATTCCCCTTAGCTTCTATCAGCCAGCCAGGCATGCCTGAGAGAGACTCACCTCACCCGCACTGTGACTGCGCTGTCTCGTCAAGTGCTGCCTATGAACCAGTGCGCTGGTGGGTCTACTGCTCTGAAGGGGGAGCCGGGGGTCGATGAAAGTGGTGGTTCGGGAATTGTGGTCAACAAAAAATGCCTAGGAAACAATCCAGAGTCAGGAGTTAGTTAATACAGGCCATGCATTTGTCATAACTGACCTCTCTTTTCACACTTTCAGGAAAAAGCCCACTTTTGCATAGCGATCTCAACACCATTTTCTCACAATTTTAAGTCTCTGTAGAAATATCTCCTTACCTCCCTTAGGAGAGATCAGAATAGAGAAAGTCATGCTGAGATTGACTCCAGGGTAAGGAAAGGAAGAAGTATTATTCCTAGAGATATGTTCAAAGATATGTTCTCAGAAACAAATCATAGGAATAGGCATGTGGGCTTCTCTTAACTGAGGTTCTTTAGGGTCTTACTGTTACAGCTGTTTCCAAGTTTGAGTCACCTGAAACTTCAAACATCTTTGCTTTTCCCTTCTCTTTTCTTCTATGCAATCTGCCACCAACTCCTCACTATTTTCTCATTATATTGTCTCTTCTATTTGTCCCCCTGATTACCACCCAATTATTTCAGGGCTTCCTCTTATGCTTACAAGTACTTATAATACCTCCATTGTTCCACATTGCCACAGCCTTTCCTCATTTATCACTGTTACAATATTCTTTTTAAACACTATTCCAAATGAAAGCCTCTTTGGAATATCTATTATCTATGGGGGAAAAAAAAATCCCAAATCTTTAATCAGTTTTCCAAGATTCTTTAAAACTCCTTCCTGTGCGCCTTTCCAGTTTAGTCATCTATACACACCCTTACCAAATTCGATCACATACTATCACTTAGGGCAAGGTACTTAAGTTCTCTGAGTGACATATTTTTTATAAAAACATGAGACCCTCATTCATAATAAATTTACTGTGATAGAAGGGTGGAAGCCATATTTATCACGTTTACTATAGAATCCCTGGTGCAATGAAACCATGACTGAGCAAAATCATTGTTCTCAGTGCTGCCATGAGAACTACATTCAGAGCAGAAAAGCAGTTTTTTTTTGCTTTTGCTTGTTTAATTCTACACTGCTTCACTGAAGTGCTATTTATCATTATTATTAGGAGCCAAATGGTATAAATTTTCAAAGTAAAACTCACTCAGTAATAATGAAGCCCATTATTTCAAGGACAATTAGAAAATGTAAGTTTTCCACGATCTGATAAAGTTAATTAGGTCATCAAAGATAAAAGGGACTATTAGGAGAGCCAGGAGACTCATTACCTATAAATCAAGTATGTCAGGGAACATGATAAATGCCAAATAGCCTGAGAAAAAAAGATCTAACTTCTTAAACTGGTGGAACTCAGTTAGCAAAATATGTTAAAGACTAGAAATGAATACCTAAGCAAAGCCCAGAGGAAAATGACATAGCTGTCTTTAAAAAACAAAAAACAAACAAACAAACAAAAAAGCTTTCCCACTATGAAACAAAATATTTCCATACATACACATTAGGAAATAGGACAAAATACCTTGTAGATAGCTCCCAAATTAGAAAACAGAAATACTTCTTTGTAAAGAGATAACTTTAAGCACTAGATATATTGGGGTGGGGGTAAGCAGAGGAATGAGTAAAAAGTGAAGAATCCTTGCTGGTCCCTTCACTCCAAATTTGATTTTCAGGTACAAAGACTGGATTAAATGAAGTCTCATAGAAACTGGGGTTGTCAGCCTCACAACCCTGGGTAATTCTCCCATTCCCCTAACCTGTCAGCTGGAACATCTTTATTCTCAGACTCTGTAAAAAAAGTATACATGTGATAAACCCTACACAAGTTTGTAGACCCTGGCCCCAAATAGTATATCAGTTCACATTTGATTTGTACTTCTAATACACTTGTCCATTATATCTGTCATAAATATCATCAAATAGTATTGCTATTATTCTTGCAAGTACACGTTTGAAAAGAATAGGAATTATGATCCACTCCACATTCTATGTAAATTAAAATGAAAAAGCTTTTATTACTGAAACAATAACATAAGTCACATTGTTAAAGGGAACAATACAAAGAATATTAAAATGCAATTATCTATTTTATTTAGCTAATTTCTTAGGAATGTTTTGAAAGGATGGGTGGCCATTTAGTGTCACCAGTGATGCACCTGTAATTATAAAGACAGATGGGTGAAGACACCATAACACAATCATTTGTTATGACTTAATGTCATAATGTGATTTGATGTTAAGAGGCTTGTTCAAAGTGCATCCTATACTTACAGTGTCATGCCTTGAGGGTGGGGGCTATTTCTTACTCACCCTATTCTCCTCCAATTGTTTTCTGGGCTACGTCTGAGAGAAAGGATGGTTAATAAATAAGAAATTTTCCAAAACTCTAATATGCAGACTTTTGAATGAAATATGTAAAAAAAGAAGAACTTAATGATCCAGGGGGAAGATAAAGTGATGGTGTGTGTATGGATAGGTGAAAGGGATGGAACAACAAAGACAATAAAGTCATAAATAGGACAAAAGTTCTTCAAAGATTTCTTTGTAAGTACAAATAAGCCACCAGCTTAAAGCTTAAGCAATAGGAGGCAAAGTAGTAATCTAGTGCTTGGGAGCTAGAAAAAGACAAGTCTGGCCCTGAGCTCTAGTTCGGCCACTCACTAGTGATGTAACCTACTTACCTTTTTAAAACCACAATTTCTCTTCCATTAAATGGAGATAAGCACACATACCTCAAGGGGAGGCTAAATGAGATAGTTCATATAAAATTTTTAACATAGTGCCTGGACCTCTTAACTGTGAGTTATTATATTACATTATTATCAGTAATAGTTTTAAGTTTTAACACATTTTTTAAGGATCATGGTGTTTCTTGCAATGATCCATACAAACTCAAAAAAAAAAAAAAAAAGATGAAGCCATGGATTACACTTTCTAGGCTCCTTGTAGGTGTGTGAGTCTCAGATTAAATTCTGGCCAATGAGATGTAAGTAGTATTGCGTGTAAACTCTGGAAAATGTCATGAAGCCAAACCCTCTTTTGTCCTTTATCCACTCTGCTCCCTGAAACAAAGAGGTAACTAATTGCTGGAACTCCAGCAGCCAAATCAACCATAAGGATGAAGGATGGCTGAGGAAACTTTAGAAGGAATCAAGGCTCTCAAAACTTGAAGAACCGCCATACAAGTCACAGACTGGCTATCTCTGAACTTCTTTGTGTGTGAGAATCAAATCCTGTATATTAAATTTTGCAAGAGCAGTCACAGTGCAATCAAACCAAATTCTAATGGACATATTGAAATCTCAGCACCAAACATGGTATCTCTGAAATTAAAAGATTAGAATACACAAACTAGCAACCACTGTTATAAATAAGGATTTTCATTATAGGATAAGTAATAATATCTCATTTTTGTTCACCTTTAAGAGATTGGGTAACAGTTCTCAATTTAAGTGAAATGTACAGTTGGGAACCTACCAAGTGGAACTTGAACCCATCTTTCTGTCTGATTCAAGATAGTATTCCATTACAACCTTTCCTTTTCAAGTCTTCTCTCACTTTCCCATTCTGTTTCTACCTTCTATCTTTTCTTTTTTATGTTCTCCCCACTTCACATTGATTTTAAGAAAGCATTTATTGAATCAGGTTGACAAAACAATTTACAACTTTGCCTTTATCCTGCTACCACGCAGGAAATGTCTGCTAAGGAAACCAGAAAGCAAACCACATACTGCATAATGTGCATTGCTAACCTGTATGAAGAATGACTGTGGGTGGGAAAGAAATGTTATTTGTATCTCACAGAGTTTCAGTTTCAGAGGCACACAGAGTATGTGCATTTTTCACACGTCTTTTTAAGTCTGTAAGCTAGGACTCAATTAAAACCTCCATCACTAGAGCACTAGCAGAATGCAACATTAGAAGCAATTCTCAACATACTTTTTGTGCTCTACTCCACCCTATGTGTGACCCTGGATATGTTTCCTCAGTGCTTTGCTTTATCTGGGTAAAAAAGGGACTATACTCAGGACACAGCTGAGTTGGAAAAACTGAATTCTAAGGAGAGAATGGAGAGGAAAGAAAAGAAAAATTACTGTGTATTACTGTGCATTAGTATTTGTGATGTAAAAATCAATTATGTCAGAAAAGTAGATCACTTTCCCACAGGATATCCTAACTAGTTCAAGTTGGTAATGAAGTTGACCTCATACTTTAAAAAAAAAAAATTGGGTCACTTTCTATGTCATCGTTCTTGGATAGCCTGCCTTTATGAAAGTACCATACATGTATTATTAGTAAAGTCTGTCTGGATAAACATTATGTTGAGAATGCAGGCTATCTGAGGAAAAAATGCAATTCTAGTTTTTAAAAAGGAGTATTTTTCAGATTAGCCACTGACAAAGCAAATTTTGGACAGCATAAGTTCCCTGCAGTTAAATTTCATTAAGGAAATTCACTCAAACTTCACGGAGCTAGACCAACTAAGACTAACAATGTAGTCAAAAACTGAAAGGAATGCAAATACACAAACTCAAATCTCATTTAAAAAAATCTCTATCCTTTCACTGCTTCAGGGCATGGTCAGTCAGGAAACGGCTGGTTGGAGCCAAGTGGTATTTCAGTGAGGCCAAGCAAAATACACTCCTCTCCTCACACAATTCTTTCTTTTTTTTTAAGCTTCTATTATTTTAAGAAGAGAAAAAGTCACCAGTATTTGTGAAGAAATACCAATCTTAGCCTCAACAAATCTAAATTACAGAAGTTTGAAATTGTTTTGCCAAACCAGAAATACATATCAAAAAACCATGCAAACAAAATAAAACAAAAGCACTTGTGACCATACTAAAGAAAGATAAGGCATCAGATCTTCTCTTTCTTTAAAATGCTATGGAAACAATGAAAGAACAACAGTGTATATGAGAAGCACTGCATATTGATTCTGTTTGAACTTCTTGTTTCTCATTCAAGTCTTAGAAATGTCAAAAAATCTCATTGTAATCTATTTTAATTTTCATAGTTTGTATTTCCTCACAATCCTCTGCCACACAAGCTATCAGTGTCTTCTGAGCTTCTGATGCCCTTCCTAGTATTTC